TCTCATAAATACAGATTGAGCCACAAAAATATGATAAATTCAGTAACTTTTGATCCAATTAATATTTTATGTTAAGTTCTTTTTTTAAATAATTTTTATAATCGTTATAAAATTTATTCTATTGAAGCTAAAAAAGTAATGACACAAGATAAATATAAAATGGAACGTTGTCACGTAATGTTTTTTTACTATCCTTTTAAAATTTATAATTCACTAAACATCGACAGTACCGGATACATCATTACATCGTTTTTCGTGATAAACATGATCAGACGTCTTATTGTCTCTGCATAATATAAACTTTACCTTTATTATTTTTAAAACTAAGATTCATGAAAACCGATATATTTATTTGAAATTTGTCACAAAACTACAATTTAATGACCATTTGATCCGTCTGAATTTTATTGATGAAAAATAAATTTGTAATAAAATAATTTTTTTTTAACTATACATTTATGATTTATTATTTATAATTAACACGAATAATTTAAATTTCATAATAACTAAAATAAATCAAAACATTTTTATTCAGAGGTCGGATTAAAATTTTTTTTTGCGTTTAATTTTTAAAAACATTATCTTTAAACTGAGTTTTACGTTATTCAAAATTTAAATGTTAAATAATTTTTACTTCAAAATTTTGTATATTAATAGTTATTCAATTATTGTAATTTATCGTTTTAATTTTACTATATTTTTATTTTTAACGTTAATAAGGAATCAAAACGTAATCTACTGCATAAACAGTTTAAATAAGGGACAAATGACTACTTATTTCTTACATAGAGTATTTTTTAAGTATAACGTATGAAAAAAGTTAATTTTTGTTTTAATATGAACTATTTTACGTTATAACTACTGTTATTTTTAACGATACTCTACGTTTATTGGTATCGAACATTTTTCGTTTTAAACATTATTAAAACGTTGTTCATAACGTTTTATCCTTATTTATATACATAAATTTTCATTTACGAGTTATGTGAAAATTTTTTATTATTAAGTATTGTGTTAATTACATTTATACGTAATTTATAATTTAAATTTAATTGAAAAATTATGTTATAATTTATTTTAAGAGACCAAAATATAGTAATAATATTGTAGAAGTTTGTATAAGTTATTAGTTTGTAGAATTTAATGTCTTAGAAAATTTGAATTGGTTGTTCCGATGTGGACTTTGTCAATGAACGAATATGACTTAATGGAGTGCTATTATATGTACGAATACACGTGCTATGTTAATAAAAAATATAAGCATGTTTGTAATATTAATTTTATATACTACAATTTTTAGAATCATTTGGAATTATCTATAATAAAACAATTAATGTAAAAAAAGTGTACTCGTTACACTGTATTATTAATATATAAAAATAGTTAAAATAATTTTCAATTATTTTTTTCCTACTTATATATTATACCTTTTCTTATTTATTAAAATAAGTTAAAATAATTGTTCAATCTTGATGATAATATATATCTAATTAGACAAATACAGTTCTTGACATTCATGTGAGTAGTTTTAAGAACTGAATACAATTTTAATCATGGTGATAATTTATGTTCTTCATATTTCGTTTATGATATAATTTATTAAAAAAATAATAATTAAAGTTGGCGACATTAAGTTATCTTAACAATTTTACTAACATAAGGAATAAATCTTATAAATAAATCACAAATTTATAGTTATGCAATTAATTTCATTAGTCTTGTCGATTTATTATTGGACTATAAATAAATCATTGTTATTGTTTATATAATTATTGAAACATGTATAAGTAAAGTAAATCGATATAAATAGTTTGTTAATATATATTATTCAGAAAATTATTTATTGCATTATCAACTGTGTATATATAGAGTAATAATTTTTCCATATTATCAAAGTATTTGAACTTGTTCAAATGTTCCAACAATATTTATCAAATAACCTAGTGTCCGTACGAAGGGTACGAAAAAAATGTTCATAATAATTTTATTATGAGACAATGTATAATAAAATACAATAAAAATCATTGGGAAATATTAGCCATAATTGAATTAGATGTTTATACGCGTATGGATATAAATTTTTTAAACAAATACTTTTGTAGTCATCTTTGTATACTTATTAACTTATAATAAATTATATTTATTTCTAAATAATTTATTTTTAATACATTTTTAAATGAAAATATTTTTGGTATTATTAGCAGTTAGCCATATTTAATTAAATATCGTTGTAATTGTTTGATATGTCGAGTTATTCAATTTTTTCCTTTCGTTCTGAAGAAAAAATAATTAACTTACAAGAATTTTTGTAGAATATTTTTTATAGAAAATGTTTAGATCAAGAATTTTTATATAAATATATTTTTTCATTCAAAGCTTTTGTTAGTAAGATATTAACCAAAACTAAAAAACTATCAAATTTAGCCAATTTTCAACCATCATGCACGTGAAGTTGTTGAATATATCTCACGAAACTCAATTCAAACCATTTTTATATAATAAAAATAAAATTAAGAGATGTCGCATAATTCTGTTTAATATATTTTTATAACTTAAGTAAATAAACATCAGTTTATTCTATATGAATTGAACGTACATTATTCATACTTTCTTGCACTTTTGTCTTTAAACCTATGACCTAAAATAATTAGTTGTAAAATAAAATACTAATAGTTTACAAAATATAATTGACTATAGTATTTGATTGATAGTAGTATGTTACATTGGAGTAAATATTAACAGATATTTTAAAATGGACAGGAATTAAGTATAAGAGACTACAATTGAAAAATAAAACTCCAAGACATGTAGAAAAAATTAACCAGTAACAGATTATCGAAGTAGTTAGACTTAAAAGATTGCCGCCGTCGGGTCCTCCATGTTTGGTAATCTCTAGTTACAGTAAAGACAATATTCTTTTTAACGGGACTTAGGTCGCCACATTGCTCTAGCATGAATGACAACGCGTTGTTACGTTTTTAGGGCAATTTAATAAAATATTATTTACACTTGATGTTTTTGTTTTTTTAATATTCTTTTAATGCAAAACTTATTGATATAATTATTTTTTTTGTTTTGCAGTTTATCGTCATTTGTGTTTTATAAAGATTATAACTATATCACTCTAAAAACGTTTCAAACGTTGATGCAAATCTATACCCTTTGTCATATATTATCTTTATATTGCTACTGCAATACTTTTTTTTACGGTGTAGCTGTGTTATCGACTTAGAATTTAATATGTATAATTATATGAGATTAAATTTTTTTTATAATGATACTAAGTAATATTTTTACGATTACAAAATATGTTCAGCACAAAAGTAAAATTAATTAAGAGGGTTATTATTTGTTTAATATAATATTATAATATGTATTATTATAATAATATACTATTTTAAGTGTCAAATATTAAATATATGTTTGCTTGTATTTAGTTATTGGTGTAGTTATTTTTGATAAAACTTCATAAGTGTTCAAAAAGGAACCTGCATAAAATATAATTAGTGGGCATTGTTTTAAGTTCATTGACTTATTTGAACGTTTTTGTAATAAAAACAATAAAATTATTATAACCCGTTTACTAGGTCAAATCTGTTGTTTACATTTGAGTTGAGAATTCTTTTTTATACTCGCGTATGCGGAACATATGGCTCAAAGCCATATTGTATGGTAATGGATTACCTCTGTACTTACATATGCGGTCTAGAGATATTATTACAATGCTACTTGGTTGTTTTTGAGTAAAAATCGATTTACTACTAGCAAAAAAGTAATTTGAATAGTTCATTCATTATGCCTTTATATAGGTGGTGTTTCAATGACAAATTTTTAATACAAATAGAAAATAATTTTTGGTATGAAAGTTTCTATTTGTGATTTTAAAAAAGGCTATCTGGTGGTTTTTAAGACTTTTTACAATGATCTTTACTAAAAAGGCTTATTAATATAAACATTGCTATTTTTGTTGTTTAATGTATATCTGTTGTTCGAATATAGCTATAATTAACCATGACGTATTTTTAAGTCTGGCTTATGTCGAATAAATAATGTAAATGAAAACGTGTTGTTTTTCTTTAAACATTGAATCGTGATCAAATTGCTCTGAATTTGTTGTATGCATATCGTGGTAGTAGTCACAATCTTTTAAAAACATTTGAAAAAAATAAAATAATTAATATATTTATCATTTAGGAAACTAAGCTGATATCTGTATTTTTACTGGAATAGAATAATTTACTATTATAAGGAATAATAGTAACAAGTATCTAAGTTAATTTTTTTTATTTTAAGCAATGTATTAAACTTATTTCAAAAATAATGTTGCTAATTATAAAGAATAATTTAAGAAGAAATCCTATACTTATTTAATATTCTAATATATAATTCTTTATTTTATTTTAGATTAAATTACTTTCATATATTATAACCTTTTCCAATTATATTATACAAAAAATAGTCAAAGTTGACAGAATTACAGAGTAATAAAAATAATTTTTGAGTAAAAAAAATTTAAATAAAGCTTTGATTACACGACTGTCTAATTGCATATGCATTTTTATTATTAAAATGACTATTTCAAGTGTTTTAAAAATGTGTATACATTTGTGTTCAACATATGTTGTTTGAAATGCATGTCAAAAAAATACAATATAATTAGATTCAGATTCAGATTAATATATATATATATATATTCCAAATTAAATTAAGCATGTTAATATAAACAAAGAGCAATTCTGTTTTGAAGAGTTATTAACTACTAGGTAGCAAAAGTCGATTATGGATTAACAAAATATCCATTTTACTTATTTATTGAGTGTTATTATTATAAAAATATGGGACTCAACTTTTTTTAGTTCATAATAAACAATGAGAGACACCAAAATTTTAATTTTAATTAAAAGTAATTGGTAAAATAAAAATTTAAACAAAGAAACTGTAATATAAATATATGTACGATTTATTTATTTGTTTTATTAAATTATACCTTTATTTTATAGAGTAGGGATGTTTTAGAATTGAAGGTTCTAGAATTATGTCCAGAATTGACATTATTAGGGGAAACGTTAGAAGAAGCTTTAAATTTACAAACGGAACACGAGCGCGTGTTGGAAAAAATTCAGGTTTGGTTTCTGTTATTAATAATTAAGCAACAATTTTTGAATGCTATAATAAAAATTTTANTATAAATATAATAATTAAGCAACAATTTTTGAATGCTATAATAAAAATTTTATTTACTACTAACTTGATAAGTTTATTTATGCTTGATTTAACAGTTAGAAATATAACGCATATATGCACCCAGAGAAAAACCTCGATCTATATAATAAATTCATTGTTCAATTTGATAAATATATCATTACTATTGAATCAATGATATATTTATCAATATGATATTTTTTTTTCTTGTCTTGAACAATAATTATTTATAAGAATAGTTATTTTGTTCGTATTAATAAAACATTATCATAAACCCTTGATAAAATTTCTCTTTCAATTTTGATTGAGGTTTTTCTTTGGGTGTGCAAACTGACCGGATTTAGAGGTCTTATCCAAAATTAAGAAAAGTACTTTTAAATTTAAATAGAAATAATTTAAAATAAATATATTAACTATTAATCTTTAAATCAATGTTTATGTTATCTCAAAAAGTATTTCTACCAAATTCCAAGTATTTGAGTAATTACTCGAAAAGATTTAATAAGAACTTAAGCGTGTCCTCTTGTCCCGTCCCTCCCTATAAATTTTATAATTAAATATATAAGAAAGATTAATATAAAGAATAATATTCATAACATTATTATTCTTTTAAAGATTGTATATTAAATTAATTATGATATTTCTTGATAAAATAAATGATTTAAAAATCATTAATTTTATTAAAAAAATTAATTTATCCAGAATTTTATCAGAAATTTTTTTACGGACAATTTTCAAAGATTTCAAATTTGTGATGCTAATTATTAACTTTGAGGATTATTAAAAATATCGGTTAAGCTCATTATAATATTGTCTTAGTGTGATTTATATTCATACCATTTATGGTCTTAACTGACTTTGTAATTGTAGCCTTGACTCATAGTTTTATAATTTGTTCTCTTTCACAAGCTAAAACTACATACACGAGATTATGTAGATTGAATATACATTTCAGATATTTTTAAACACAAAATTTTTTTTTTTCAAAATAATAATTATTATTTAGAATAATATAATTTGTGTATAATATTAAATTATAATTTGATATTATTATTTTGATATGCAAATAGGGAAAACAAAGCCCAGTTAGTGAACTTTTGAAAAAAACCGATCATCTAATAGCCACTCAGAATGTTCAACCAGAAGTTTATGCCGCTATGGCAGATTCTTTAGGAATTGCTTGGAAGGATGTAAATGATATACTCCAAAATAGAGGATTTTTGTTGCATTTAAATGTTGAATATCATAGGTGAGGGTGAATTTTAACATTATTTTGTGAACATTTTTTACAAAAAAAAAAAAATTCAGGCAAGCAGAACTGTGTATGCAACGCATTAGAGCATTAGAAATGCTTTGTCATAGTTACCTACCAACTAATGTCGAAGCAATTAAAAATCATCTAGATCAAATAAATGAAGTAAGAAAGTCAGTTTTGGAGACTTTGATGGTTACACTAGGCAATGGAACACAGTTATTAGACTTCTTAAAAGAAATTTATACCAAAGGAACTCTAGATTCTAGACCAGGTTACAATCAACATTCTACGTCATTAGGTTAGTTGATTTACCTTTTATGTTTTTTAACTATAAATATTGTTCATAAGAAAGGAAAGAACAAGTAATTACTGTGTAATAATAATATTGTAATATTATAGATTAACTTTTCTTATTTATTAAAAGTCAAATTATACAGGTGACACTTTTATCATAAATCACTTATTTAATCAAAAAATAAAAATAATATTGATAATGTTTTTTTGTTTACTCTTTGTTACAAACCTTTCTTGATTTATAAATTAATAAAATCATTTTTTATTCATTTTTTATATCATATAAGGGTGTTAATACTTTTTGTTTAAACGACAATATAAATAATTTAAATTAATGGTTGGAGGTAGATGCGGATGTTGATATTTTATCAATAGAAATTTATTGGCCTCAATTCTTTCCCCTTAGGTATAAAATTGAAAAATAAAATGTATAACTAAAAGAAACCAAAAAAAAAAAACATTATCTAAATTATTTTTCTATTTGATTAATTAAGATATTTATGATAAAAGACTCATCCTGTTTAGTGCAATAGTAGCCAATAATCATAAACAGTAATGTTATATTTATATTTTTTAGCTATATCTCAAGTAGAGCATTGGTTAGAAAAACTCCACGATAATCGTCAATCAATTGATATTGATTGTCATGAGCGAAAAACAATGCTCGAAAAACGTTTAACTATATCTTTACTAGTCATTGATTTAAATTTACTTGAAAATATAATATTAGAGAGATATAGTTCGTTAGAAAAAGTCAAAAATTCTCTGGGAGATTCTGAATATGAATGTTTAAAACTTACTGAAGTAAACGAAAATCTAATTATAGAAGCAAAAGATATAAGAGATCAAGCATTAAGAGTAGTAAAAGCTACCGAGCAACTTGTTTTGACTAAAGGCTATATGGAGGAAGATTATAAGTTTAAAGCTTATAAGTTGTTAGAAACAGCAACAGAATACTTAGAAGAACTCAGTAATAGAGAACGTTTATTAGATTCTGCAATACATTTCTTCAAATGTGCTGAAAAAGTAATTATTAATAGAATTTTTTTTATGAAGTTTTATTTTTTTTTATAAATATTATATGACGAATATTTTTTGTAACATATTTCTTTAATTTTTATATTTGCAACTTACTATAATTTTATTTACTTTACAGTTTTCTATTTGCTAAGACATAATTTTTTATTATATTTTAGCTTCGATGCGAAACTGAGACAATATTAATTTTACCATGATGTGTTAATTTTTTTATTATTATTTTTTTTGTGTCTGTCACTGGACCGATTTTTCTTTACCATACGTCAAAAGATTAGAAATTGTATCTAGTTAAAGACATCCTCAAAAATTGAAAATCTTGCTCACGTTCCCCGTAAATGACGCGTAAATAAAATCCGCCGAAAATTACAATTTATAAAATTGGTAAATTTTGACATTTTTTTCTCTAAAAATTACACTGACTTATTAAAAAATGAACAAATCAAAATAATTCTTTTTTATATTAAAACCTTAGATATTTTCTTTTCATTTGATATAATTTTTTGAAAATCTGACCATTAATCTGCCCACAAGGGAGGATTCAAAATAGCAACTTCTGCACAAAAATTTAATTTTTTCAACTTAAGTTTTGAAAATGTTCTGAAAATATTGACACTTTTATTTAATCTTAAATTAAAGCTTATATAGTATACTTAACTATGAAAAAAAAAGAAATTCAAGGTATAGTGAATATGGATATCATATTCAAAAATATGCTATTTTTGTGTTAAAATTCTTGGTATTGTGTTTTAATTTTAAATCTTTATAATTTTAATAGATTTATAATTTTAATTATAATTCTATTTGACATAGAATATAAAGTTAAACATATTTCCTTTTTTTTCTTTTAAGACGAAAAAAATAACATAAAATTTGAAACAGTTTATATTGCAAATTTTATTGAACCACGAATGTGACAAACGCTTGCCGAAACGGTAACACTAGTGTCTTTCAATTAGGTTTTTCTTAATAGTATAAAAATAAGTGAAATTAATTTTGATTCATAGATGATCAAATTAAATTTTTTATTTTATGTTCTTATTAATAATTAATATTCAGTTATTATTAATTACAATTAATACTAATTTAGTAATTTTATTTCCTTAAGAAAGGTTAATTTAAATTAATATACATGTAGTCCAGTGTATTTATTTATAAGTATTAAACATTTTTTTTGAAAAGTATTGCATCAAGCCCTTTAAATTTTTATACATATAAAAAAGAAAAAGTAAATAAATATATTCAAAATAAAATAAATATTAAATATATGTACATTAAAAATATGTTAAATAAATATTTATTCATATATTATACATTTAAATCAAAGAACCACTAATCAGGATATAAATAAGGAAATTTATTCTAAGAAATTTAAGAGAATTTAAGGGGTTCATTCTGCTTTTGAAATAATCTACCAATTTCTTAAAATTCAATACTATCTACAGATTCTCATTGAAACGTTTCTTATAATAGTGATTTTTATAACTGTCAGATATCGTCTATACTTGTGCCAACTATAGCACGTCTCCACTGTGCTGCGACCTCATTATAATACCGTTTTTTTATATTACTGCTTTAATAATTTTTACTTGTTTTTTGCTAATAAATAATGAAAAACTTTTTTATTTTCTCGAATTTCAATTCTCGAATATTGAGGAGCTCAAGTTTTTTATAAACTATATGATTGAGTATTTTTATTAAAATTCATTTTTATCACAAATTTTAGATATAGTCTATTTTTTTAAATACTAAAGTATCCAATAATCATTATGATTTTGATGATTTTGCTTTGATTGCTTCTTATGTTTTAACTCTTAATAGTCGGACAGTTAATATGATATTAAATATGTTTAGGTACTTGGAGCATGGGATACTATACTTCAAGATTCTTCTGATGAAAACCAATCATCAAAAGCAAATTATGTAACAGAAACCGTAAAAAGAACTGGAGCTTCGGTTATTCAGGATGGAAATTTATTACTTAGAGAAGTTCCGCTAGCAAAGGTTTAAATAATATTTTATTTACGTGTCTGTATTATAGTTTTATTTTTAATCAATTGATTAATTTTGCTTATTATAATTTTAGGGAGTTAAAAAAGTGGTAGATGAATTAGAAAGGAAAAAGCAACTCATACTATCTATTCTTATGAAAGATCATGATAAATATATTGAATCCTCAGAAGCGGTAACAACGTTCTCAGAAAATTACAATGCAGTAAATACATATAAAAAAATATGAAAAACCTAATTAAGTGTATTAATAATATGAATTATTTTTTTTTAAATCTATTTCAATATAATCTAAAATATAATATAGTGATTGCTAAGCATAACTCATGCAATATCTTTAAAAATGAATTTATAATAGTAGTTTTTGGAAGTAATAATAAACTACGTTCTAAAAATGTCGAGAAAAATTTGTTCCTATACACTTATTTTTCTCTTAAAATTTGATCAACATTGTTTTGTCTTCGCGGTAAAAATGGCTACTGTATGCTATTTTTGTTTTAAAATTCTCGATTTTATATTTTACATTTTTAACTTTATAACGCTATAACTTTTTGAAAAATGTATGGGATCAATACAATTTTTTTAAGATAAATGCTATTTATATATCTCTTTCATTCGACATACTTTTTTTTTTAAATAAAACCATTTCCCTTTATATATATATTTATTATATAAGTTTTATGATTTATAAGTGTAATATATATATATATATATATATCAGAACATAGAAGATTGTAATCAGAACATAAATAATGAAATAGGAGATCATGTAGCTTTTGGAGTAATCCATTAATTTTTTTAATGAAACACTATCTACAAATATGCATCAATGTGTTACTTATGATAGTGATTTTAATCACTGTCAGATATCATTATACTTGACCCAACTATGCCAAGTCCCCACTGTGCTGGGCTTTTTAAATGTATTATATATAATTAACTCTTTAATATGAAGACTGGAGGTGAAGTGTGGGTTTGTTTATTTTAATATCTAGTTATTAATAAACCGTACTATTCCTGCCATCTTATTATAAAAATGCTAATATTTTTTAAAAGTTATTTTCGAAAAGTCATTTTCTTCGATAGATCGTTTTCTAGTTTGTAATTTGGTTAAACATACATGCATATTTAAATAGAATAATTTTTTGAATCATTATATTAAATTTCAAAATCATTTTATATTTTATTTATTAAATAAAATATATTACTCTGCCCAAGAGATTCAAACTTGATGTCCAAAAAATTTAAATACTCACATTTTGTACTGTAAAATTCTCTTTTTTTTCAAAGTATTTCTAAATATGTAATAAATTACACTTGAAAAAATAATTTTTATACTAAATGGTTCGTATTTAGTACAAATGTACATCCCTCAAAGTACTTGAATTTTAAAGACTATATAAATTGCGTGATTTAGATTCATTAATAATTATTATTAAGATAAAAATTTAAAAAAGTATTCCCAGGGTACTTAAAGAAAATTCTAACAAATATGCATATATTTTTCAATTCAAGTTGATAAAATTTTTGGAGATAAAGAGAGAGACCAAATTTTTTCTGAAAATTATAGATTGTAGAATACTATTCTGGAAAAAAAATCGTAATATTTTTTATATTTTTAAAGATATTGTAGGTGTTATAGTTAAAAAAGATACTGTGCTTTATTGGTTATATGATATAAACATTTTACATGATATTTATATCATGTAAAATCAGTCATTGATGTAATTAGTGGTTAAGGTAGTAAAGTTACAATTTGGGATCGCTAATTTTTGTTTGTAATAATAGTAGAATTTGGAAATATGCACTTTAAAAAATTGACTATTAAAATTCATAACGAGATAGCTATAAGTTGAAAGGGCTCCTTAAGATTCTTACTATGGGACCCTTAAGATCAAGATATCTTGAATCAGTGACGTAAATAGCCATGAGTTTTGATAGTATTTATTGAATATTCTTGTAGAATGAGATAAAAGAAAATTGTCAACATTTTGGAGAATGTATTTTATTATATACATAAAATAAATTCTTGCTTGTTGCAGTACTCCATAATAAAAAAATAGTTTAAAAAAAATTTAAATATATAATAAATAAGTTCCAAATTAGATTTGCTTTAAATGTATAATCACAATGAAAAAGAAATATGCTTTAATAATGCATGATGAAATATACAAGGATTCATCAAAATTTAGTGTTCATTATATATAAAATTAATATTTCTAGATTTTCTCTTGGTTGGTTAGTTCAGCAGAAACATTTTTAAATGAGCACAATTCCATGACTACAAATTTAAAAGAATCAAGAGAGTTTTTAAATACTCATAAAAAAATACTTAATGATTTAAGAGTGAGTTTAATCATTTATTTATAATAATATATATATTTATATTATAACAAAATAATATCACAGGTTCCCAAATAAATTGGTTTTATTTTTATCTAGATTTATCTAGTCTAAAGTACGTAAGTAAAGATATAAGTAATAAGATTAGATACTAAAATATCTAGTCTTATGTGTCTTATATGCTGAATTCAAAAACTCAAAGTAGCTATTAGCCTTAATATGAATTTCGGTTTTTAAATATTGGGCTATAGTAAATTGTTTTCATAATTTATTTTAATACCAGACAATTTATACAATAATACAAATGAGTCAGTTATAAATGTATCTTCACCAAATTCGTAAATTTGATTGTCATTTTAGGCATTGTAAAAATAGTTCACTTGATTCAAAACTATTAACACGAAAACGTGACCTAACCGTATGAAAAACAGAAAAAACTATTAAATATTATGGACTAATGATTTGTTTTTTTTAAGGAAATAATGATGTTGAAATTTTAAAAATCTATAAAAATTTTAACCATACCCGCTATAATTAGATTAAGTGTTTTCTTATCAATGGTGCTACCGAGTTATGGAAGCAAACAGGAATATATTGAAACTATTTTAATCGTTCTTTTAATTGGATACATTTTAATTAATTACTCTCCACCTAAGCCATGGGGTGCTGAGGATCATATGTTACTTATTACAATTTTTCTTGATACATTAGTTATACAAATAAAAACAAAAACTATTTTTGTAATATACTTGCGAAATTTTTTTTATTTGCAATTCTAAAATAGCGCCAAACACACAAATAAATCAAAATAGAATTTTTAAATGCTATTTACAACAAAATTATGCAATATAAAATTTAGAATATAGCTTATTGAATTTTTGAAACAAATGTGTAGTTTACCTATCAAAAAATATGTAAATGCTATAAATTATGAGCCCTGATCATTACAATGTACTAATACACATTTTATGTTTTAGACAAAAGGAATTGACATTAATGCTTTAGTAAGTTCTACTAGTTTACCGCCTTTAACATTCATTGATGTCGAAACTAGAGTGGAATTGGAAAATAAATCTTCTACGTTAAAAGATCACTGGACTTATTTGGATAGAATATTAAGTTGGAGGATAAATTTAGCTGAGCTTTTTGTGAAATTTTTTTCTATAGCTGAAAATCTTGATGTAGAATTTTCTAATTTGGATGAAATGATAGGAAAATACGATATTACTGATCAAAATTTAGATACTGGAAATAAACAATGGACAAATATCATGCAATTATATGCTCAGCTAAATAATACCGGAGATAAATGTTTACATCAATGCTCTCAAGTTAGTTAAATTATATTATCATCTAAATAAAATAAACATTTTTTTTTTTGATATCTTTAGTATAACAAGTTGTTCTTAAATTATTAGCGATGTAATACTTTTTAATTTCATATATTAATGCCTTGTAAAGGAGTTTACTTTGTTTTTTCAAATGAGAAATATATTTTGAATTGAAAAATTGTTTGAAGTTTTATTTTAATAGTAAATGACATTTGAATTTTTAACATAACTTTATTCATTTTTTAAGTATAAAACTTAAACATTTCAAATCTAAACTTTTTTTTCCAAAAATGTTCAAAATTAAATTAATTATTTACATGAATAATTATCTAGATGAAATTTTGATCAACACAAGCTTGTAAATTACTATTGAAACTGTCATAGTAAAAATAATTATCATCTCATATTAATGTATCAGTTATTATAGAAACCAATGAAATGAAAAGGACATTGACTGTTAATGTAATTGTGGGGGAGGAATTAGGGTATTATTTCTTCCGCTCAAGATAAAAATAAATACATTGTGAAGACACAATTTATATTTTTCTTTTAAAGGGAATATCTTAATTTTTATGTATATCGCCCTAAATGAAACCCTAGTAACGTCATTAGACTCTAATAATACTTTTTTAATACGTACTATAAAGATTAATTTGTTAGAAAATTTATCAAATAATATAAGATGATGTGTTCTATAAACGCAACTAGACTAAATTATTTTCACTTAAATATTAATTTTTCTTGTTTGAGTTAGTGTGAGAATAATTTTAGTATGTGTTTATTATTTGTTTACTATAAATTTAAACTAATATGAAGTAAAATGAGAGTTTTTAACTATTTTTATTTTATGAACATTTCTATTAAGGATATTTTAAAAATAATATAAAAAGTAAGGCCAGTTAAAATTTTTGTTTATTTTTTTCATACGTCTTTTGGCAGTGTCTGTGTTACACTAATTAGAACTCTTAGAAATTGGCTTTTGTAGTTATGGCTTGAAACTGATTAATTATGTAATGCTTTTCAAATGACGTAATAATTTTGTTTCAGTTAAATTAAAAGGTATATAAAAGTTGTCGTAGTTGTACTGAGGCCAGAACATTTTGTTAGTCAATTTGAAAAAATGTAGAGGACTTTTACAAATTTTCAGCAATGATAGTCAACTTATTTTGTTGTGTATTCTGACTTATTAGCCTTCTTTTTTTACTATAGCAACAATCTTTTGATATCATAAAATATATAAATATAAATTTATGATTATACTAACTTTAAATTTAACAGATAATTCAATTACTCTTTTATGAATAAAGTTTTTGTGAATGATTTAATTTTACTATCTATAAATTTTATCTATTGATTACTATCTATAAATTAGTTAAAATATTGCTAGGCGCAACGAATAAGGCAGTAATTCAAAAAATATACCCCTATTTAGTTAGTTATTGTTTCATTCGTCTACATTACAAAATTTTATTTTTTTTAAATTCTATTTTTTACTAATTTTTTGTTTTGTTTTATGTAAGACATCTCTAAGGCATTCGTAAATAGTGTAAAATAATAAATAATTATAATTATTTGATTATTCCTGATCAATAATTTTCATTGAAATATCGGAATTTAACAACATAAATAATTTGTTACATTGAAATAAGTTAAAATGAACTACTTAAGTATATTTCAGTTAATTGACTTGTGCTTAAACGGTTTTATATTTCAAATTTTTGATTTTAATTAGTTTTGTTAGTTATGGTAGGGGCCCATGTCTGGCAACTATCCTAAAATAGGAAGCAACGTCTCGCCATGGCTGTTTAATATAGTAACTGTTGCTGCCTGTTATAGACTGAAGACGTTCATCTTAAGATAGACGTGGCTCAAGAAAGAATAAAATCAGTGCTCGATTTGTTTGCGGATAGAAAAACCAAAACTACTTCCGTTTGGGAGAGTTGGCAACGGACGTTAGCCGAAAACAAATTGGATAAGGTGCTTTGGAAAGAAAACATGTGCGAGAGCAGTAAGGTAAAAAGACACTAAACAATTTGACGCATTGGATATTATTTGTAAATAAATACTGAAACTGAAGTTAAATGTATAATATATATTATTTTTTTATATTACACACAATACTATTTGATATCATGATCTGATTTATTCTTTGTTAGTTAATTCTTCAATTATTCTATTTTTTCTCTTAATTTCCATGTTTTATAAATTACTGGCTTAGATAAATGTTATTATTAGAATAATGTCAAATATTTCGTAATTCAGTGTGGCAATTTTTATTCATAAATACATAATAACATAACATAATAAACATAATATTGAATGTTATACATAAAATGTTTTATTTTTCATACTATACGCCCCTTATTTTATTTTTCATTAATTTTAATACTTTCTCTTTTATAAATATCATATTTTGTTTTTACGTTTCTCGAGTATTGATTCCATATTTCTTTTTATTTTGGACAACTTAAGAACAAGTTATCTAAAAATTTTGTTTATTAAAAAAATTTCGTTTTTATTTTCGAGTTAAAACCTTACTATAAATAAACAAATATTAAAAGAAATACACTAATTTTATTTCTTTAAACTATAAAACAGTTTCTTCAATTCTTCTTGTAGAAGCTTAAATAATAACTCAATAAAAACTAATAATCAAGTGGTTACTGAAAATTGTAATTCAACATTTAAAAGTAAATTAAATTTTTATTTTTAAATTTCATTTTTGAGAATATCATATTTTACACTATAATTATTGAAGCATTTAAATCGTTAGCTAAAAATATCTTTGTAGATATTTTAGTTTTAAGATAATTAAAAATTTTAAAGTTTACTAAAAACAGTGCTTTGAAGTATATATATATATATATATATATATATTAGATTGAAACGTGATTATAATGGTTATTAAAAACTTTGAATAACCTTGGTTAAATCCCTTAAAACTTTTAAATTTAAACGTACTCTATCACTTGCTGGACGAATGCCATAAACAAATGAAATAAGTTGTTTTAATACGTCAAGAGCTTTATTATAAGATTTGCAGAAATAAAATGATATTATATGAAAATATTACATAACCTTATGTTAATAAATAAAAGTTTATTATTTTCAATGAGTATTATATATTTTGATTATAAGTTGGTTTTTTTTAGACTGTTGACTGGGTATCTAAGTTGGAAACTCAGCTTTATCCCATCCTAAAAACAGAACCGTTGACAGTAGATCGACATATTTTAGAAGTAGAAAACAAATTAAATAATATATTACCTGAAGTTCAAAGAGCTCAAGATGAAATTGAAACTAGAGTTAGAACAGCAGAAGAGTTGATCGGAAAAGGTGATATAATTATTATTTTACAAAATGTATAAAATAAAATTTTAAATTGTTTAATTTATTTTTATTTATTAAATAGGAAATGTACAAGGAGAGAATATTTCCATTCCACCAAGATTAAAAGAACTTCATAGTCGTCTTATTAGTATCACTACTGAATACCAAAATCTTTTAGAAATGTTTTTGTCATTTTTTAACTCATTACAAAAGGTATTCTATAGTATTTTTGTTTTAAATTTCAAACATTAAGATAAGTTGATAGTGTTCAAAGATACTAAAGATTTTATGTATTGTGTCATTATAGTTCCATAATACTGTATGTGATGCTGAGAAAAGTCGACAAACTGAAATAATAAATTTAAAGTTGGATGAAGTTGAAGAATTGTATAAAAGTCATAACAAGTCACGACAAACTGTGCTTGACAATTTTAAAACAGTTTATGCAGAAAATATACGCCTAATGGATAAAATTAAGCAACAGGTAATATTAAATTAAAAAGTTAATCTTCATCGATAAATTATGATATTTATAATTTATTATTATAGGAACCTCAAAAATCGGCTGAACAAGACATGTATGTTGTGCGTTGTCTCATGGAAAATGAAAGGAATGTATGGGACCAATCGTGTGAAATATATTGTCAAAAAATTGAACAACAGCAGCAATTGAGTCAGTTTGACAATGATTTAATTCAGATAAACAACAATTTAAATGATTTATCTCAACAACTTGCTTCTACCAAAGGACAATACGGTTCAAATTTAGCTTCTGCTAAATCAGCGTCACTTGCTTTTCATTACTTTGAAAAAACGATATTGGTTAGTTATTTAGATAATATTATAGGAAATAATTTTAAATTAAATTATAACTTAATTCATTAGTCGTATACATGTATAAAATTGTTTAGCTTTTAGAACAGAGAATTGAAACATTTATTAGTGCTGCTAATTCGTTGATGAGTTTCGATCATACTAAGTCTGAACATATAAAAAAGGAATTGAGTCAATTGAAAAGTAAATGGGATACATTTCAGTCGCAAGTAGCAGAGAGCAGGATTCACATAGATGTGTGTGTTCAATACTTTTCGTTGATAGAAGAAGTAAATTTACTTTGTAAAAAAGCAATAACGATATTGTGTCATATTTATTATTTTGTTTTTATAGGCGCAACAATGGATTTATGAAGGTAGTAGAGTATTAATGAATATAGTTCAAAAATCAACTGATGTTAAATCACAAGATGAAGCTTTAATATTGTTAAACGAAATTGAATTATTTTTAAAGCCTAATGATAGAAAACAGGAAGAAAGAATTAATAAAATATACAAACTTGGGGAAGAACTTTATGGAAAACAAGATGTTACTGATGTTTCTAAAGTAGTAACTGAGAACCAAGAACTTCTAGATTCTTTTTCTTTGATATTTAAAGAGCTCAAATCATTTGATGAAAAATTTAAATCCGGAGATAATTTGGATGATCATAAACGTGAAGTTAACCAAATAATTGCAAACGCACATGAAGAAATTATGACATCAAATATGGTACTAATGCAACATAATAAACAATTGCTTTATACTATCTAGCCTATCTTGATGAATTTTAATTTTACGAAAAATTAATGAAATATTTAAATTACAGAATTCTAAATCAATCAAAAATACTATACCCGAAAAAAAGAAACTTCATGAAAATATTAAACTAAATCCTAATATAATAAAGCCATTGCAAGACTGTACAGTTAATGAAGGAAAAAAAATTTCTTTAGAATGCAGGTAAAAATTTATTTTATTGTTGAACATACAATTATACAATATAAGTAAATTTTGTGTCGTTAAATATATAGTATTGAAAGCAAACCTTCAAAAGTTACTTGGTTTAAAGATGGGATTGCAATTGAAAATAACCCAGACTACCAAACTACTATAATTGATAATCTATGTATTCTTACGATTGAAGAAACATTTGTAGAAGACTCCGCTAGTTACACGTGTAGAGTTGATAATGATTCCGGTTATAGTGAAACATCCGCTTATTTAACTGTAAAAGGTATTACTTTAATAACATTTAATTAATTTAATTTGACTTATCATTGAAGCTATACAAGGTGATTGATTTATCATTAATCAAAAAATTTATTTACATTTTATAATCTTTGTTGGAAGTCAGACGCGATTGTTATTATTTTTATCACTGGTCATTTCACAGACATACTCTGCAATCCGCTTAGAAATAAAAATATCAATAACTTTCGAAATACTGCCGCAAAAGTTGTTATCCACCAGTTAATTTTTTTATTAGATTATTATCTATTGAATGAACTAATTAATTACATGTATTGTAATTTGAGAAAATAAAGTTGACACCCTTATAAATAATTATTAAGGTATTAGGAATGAATATAAAAAATACTTAATAATTAATAAATTGAGAAAAACATGTATCTAAAATAAATCAAATAAAAAATCTTCAATTTTATTTTCCTTTTTTGATTAATTAAGTGGTTCATAAATGAATCACCCTGAATTATAATAATTTTTTTGTGGATTTAATTAAATTTAAACATTTTATGTTATTGTTTTTAATAGAATGTCAACCTGAAAGCCAAATGTGTCCATCAGTTTTCACCAAATTACTATCTGATTTGATAGTTGACGAAGAAGAACCATGCTTGTTATCATGTAAAGCTGAAGGAAATCCTTTGCCTACAGTTCAGTGGTATAAAGACGATATGTGCATTGAAAATAATCCAAAATATCAAATTACTTATAATAATGGTGAAGCATTGCTAAAAATTGAACGTGTACATTTGTATCATAAAGGAAAATACATATGCGTAGCTACCAATAAACTTGGTTCAGACTCTACTTCCTCTAAGTTGTTAGTTAATGGTATGTACAAATATTATTCCTAGGGGTTGGAATAAAAAAAAAATGTTTTATTAGTTATAATATTTACAATTTAACGATTTTATTTGTTTAACATTTTTGGTTTAACGTCAGATGGGTTTATAACATAATTAACTGCCATATGCAATTTAAGGCAAGTAACTAACTTTTTCTTGCATAGGATTTTTTAACTTCGATGCGAAGCTGAAAAGGTATTGGTTTTACTTTAATGTAATTTTTTTTTTTTTGTGTCTGTTACCACTTTTTTTCAGCTCTCACGGAACAGATTTTTTTGAATGATACGTCAAAAGATCAAAAATCGTATCTAGTTGAAGACATTACCCTCAAAATTTGAAAAAATTTCCCTCGTTCCCCGTAAATGGGGGAGACCTCCAAAAAAATTACAAATTTAAAAAACCCAGCACAGGGGAATCACGGCACAGTGGTGACGTAGCATAGTTGGATCAAGTATAATGATATCTGATAATGATTAAAATCACTATAAAAAAAAACGCTTCGATGCAAATCTTTAGATAGTGTTTAGTTATAAAAAATTGATGGATTATTCCAAAAGCTACATGATCTGCTATTTCCTTATTAATATCCTGATTAAGATAAAGTATGTCGAATAAAAAAGGGATTATTAAAAAATATTATTTCTCATAAAAAAATTGTGTTGAAGAATTGTGATTTCCCCTATTTACGGGGAACGAGGGAAATTTTTTCAATTTTTGAGGGAAATGTCTTCGACTAGATACGATTTGTGATCTTTTGACGTATCATTGAAAGAAATTGGTTCTATGAGAGCTGAGAAAAAGTGGTAACAGATACAAAAAAAAAACATATAGTAAAATTAATACCTTCTCAGCTTCGCATCGAAGCTAAAACTGTCATAACTTTTTCAAAAATGAACGAATCAATATATTTTTTTTTATAGATGCTTGATGTCTTTACCTTTCATTTGATATATTTTTTTTATAAATCTGACCCTTTATGTGCCCATAGATGGGGATTTAAAATGACAACTTGTTCACAAAAAATTTACTTTTACACTTAATTTTTGAAAGTGTTCCGGAAAGTCTGACACTTTTATATACAGGGTGATTTTTTTATCATAACCCACTCAATTACTTGCAGAATAATAATAATTTAAACATTTTTTTTTTTATTATCTTTAGTTACACATTATTCTTGAATTATTAACTATGTAATACTTTTTAAGATCATCCCTTATGCCTGGTTAGGGTGTCAACTTTGTTTTTTTAAATGGTAACACATATTTTTAATTTAATAAAATGTTTGAGTTTTTAATTTAATAGTAAATGGCATTTGAATTTTTAATATAACTTTATTAGCTTATTAGATATAAACATTTAAAGTTTCAAATTTTTGAGTTAATATACATGTATAATACACATGGGATTGTAAATACAGGTAGCTAATTGGATTTTTATGACATTGCTGTCTCAGTCACGGATTGTTTATTATCAATTATGATTATCAATAGATATACTTTCTGTATTGTCAGTTAGTGTATTTATAAACTNAGGCACATTGTTATGAGTTTATAAATACACTAACTGACAATACAGAAAGTATATCTAATGATAATCATAATTGATAATAAACAATCCGTGACTGAGACAGCAATGTCATAAAAATTCATGTAACTTTTGGAGTAATCCATTATTTTTTAAATTAAACACTATCTACAGACTCGCATCGAAGCGTTTTTTATGATAGTGATTTTAATCACTTTCAGATATCATCTATACTGGACCCAACTATGCCACGACCTCACTGTGCCGCCACCCCACTGCGCTGGGTTTTTTGTTTAACAGGAATCGTTTTGTGTTACACGTAGTGTTATGTTTAACAATATTTTATGTTTATTCATATAAAATATTTTAGTTTTTTTGATTAGGTTTTAACATTTTTAGTTTTAAACATTATAAATATAACATTATTTCCAACGTTTTTCTTATCTAAAATTCTTATCGAACAAATAAATTTTTTAATTTTACTAATAGAAAAATCACAAGAAACGCCAAAATTTATCATGCCATTATCAAATGTTATGGCAAGAGCAGGGCAGAAATTAAAACTAGAATGTGAAGTAGAAACAAATGATTCTCCGACATTAATATGGCTCCTAAATGGGAAAATGATGAAAGAAATAAAAGACTTTAAAGTAACTAAACATTTTAATATATATAAAAATTTTATTTTATTATACAAGAACATATGACAAAATGAATATCTTAATATTTGATTATTCATATTATATTATTTGTTATAAATAAAAAGATAAATTGAAGACCTATATATAATAGTTTTTATGAAATTAATACTTTGAAACAAGTAAAATTTTAGTTTAAAAATGTCATATATTTGTTGGTAAAATAATGTTTTTGAAAACACATTTTTTTACCATTGAAATAAAAATTATATATTGAATAATATCATCAATAGTAACAAGAAAATTGTAATAAATTAAAATCGATTTTAGAAAATTAAATTTAAAGTGTTTATCCTTTAAGGGATGAAAAAATATCAACAATATTATCATTTTTAATGTTAGATGACGATTTAAAATTATTTTGGTATTAAAAACTCATAATAATTGTATTAAGTTGCAAGAAAACTTAAATAGATTTGCTAATTTGTATATTGATAAAGATCTTTCAGTCAATGCAAGTAAATGTTCTCAGAAATAATTTCACCGATGTTGTTATTTAATAATAAATATTTATAACATATAATATTAAACATTGAAGCATTAGCCAATGCTGAAAAAATTATTTAAGAGTGTCCGTATTTCAAATATATTTTTTAGATGAAAGGGCTCTTAGTTTTTAGTACACTGATCGTTCAAAAATTTTATCGATAACACTTATTACCGTCAGTATTTTTCATTTTAAAATCTGACATTTTTACAAGATCTGTCCAGAGATCATCCAAAGATATCCTTAAAAATTCGTTGAAATCTGTTGATTTTTGACCGAGATGTGAGTTTTTTCAAAATCCACTGACATAGTTTTTAGCAAGTTATAATTTTGATTTCTGCATCTCAATATGGTTTAAATTTTATGTAGTTTTCATTAATAACACGGAATTTATAGATTGTTTTTAATGATCGTTAATTTTCTTTCGTCTAGCTATTTTTTTACAATAATATTAGTAGATTGTTATGAAGTATAATTGTGAATACATCTAAATATTTTGGAGNTATAATACAGTAGACGCCGCTTATAAGAATCACGGATATAAGGTTCAGTCGCTTATTAGACTCAAAATCGTCTGGAACGGTCCGGACNTAAATTATTATTTAATTTAAAAGTGGGACTAAATTTCTGGTCAACTGCTTTTGGGTTTTTGGAATACTTTTTTGGCACAACACTAATCGTGCCAAGCGTAGCCGGATAGTCCTACTAAAATTAGTGGTTTACCACCTGTAAGGACAGCTCGAAGGGCCTAACGCGCTGTAGGTTCGTAAGACCCACAGGGCACCTAGTCTTGAGAGAGGTCCATCTAGACCAGGCCTAGTAAATAATACTAAGCTAGAATGATTTAATAATGTAAAAGATTTATGTATTTTTAGGTAAATTGTAAAACATATTAATACGTTTTGTGCAACTATTGCAACTAACTTAAATTTTATTTAATTTAATTGTGATGATTTTAAAGATGTTCAATGTTTAACAGTGCTTTATTCTGTTCTAGTACGCATAGGTTAGAATTTTTTTCTGTGATATGTAGCCATAATCAAGTAGGTCTTTATTTGGAAAAAAAATTAAAAAAGTACAAAATAATTAACTTAATATGTTGCGTTTAATTCTAATAATTAGGTCATCCTAAAGTTAATGTTGAACGTCACTGTAACTTAATTTCTTTGAATTCAAGACGTTTATATAATAATTTATATTATATTTAAAAAAATTTATATAGTTTTATCGATGACAAGGAACTTCTCTTTAAAAGTGACTTTTGTATTGCCTTATTTAAATACACGGAATCATATTTTTCATATCGAAAATTAAACTAAATACTATATTACCAATAGGTCCAATGAATCATGTGTTAAGTAATAATTTCTTATTATAAAATTACAATTATTGTAATAAGATTATTTTTTTCATAATTATCTCAAGTTGTATTTTGTATCCAAAATGTATAGTATTTAAAAGTGTTCATGAATTTTTTTATTTTTTGTTATATATATTATTAACTAGTTTAACTTTTTTTTATTATACTTTACTATTTTTCTTTCTATGAGGCATTTATTTTTAATAAATTAATATAATATTTTAGAACTTTCTACTTACAAAAATTAAAATTAAAATTGCTAATAGGTTCCTAAAACTAAGTGATTTATCTTTAGTTGAATACTCTGTGTATTTATATAAAAATATACATACTTTTTATCTATCTTTTTATATCACTTTAAAATTTTATTTTAAAACCAATTTTTATTTTACCCTATCTTCTGTTTTTTCCTAGATTCTTTTACTCATAAATTTTATAATACATAAATTAATCATAAAGTTTAATCATTTTAGAATCCTGAAAATCGTGGAAAAATTAATCTAATAATTCCAGAAGCTTATCCAAAAGATGCTGGTACTTATACTCTTATAATCAAAACAAAATATGGCGAGGTATCAAGTTCATGTCAGGTATCTGTCAAAGGTATTTTACCGAACGAAACCTCGGATTCTGAAATTACTTGTGATATTGATCCAGTGAAACCATCAATTCTTTCTCCTTTAAGTGAACAAACTGTTACAGAAGGACAAAGCGTATATTTAAAGTGTGTAATAATTGGCCAGCCAGAACCTGAGGTTAAACCTTAAGATTAATTTTTTTTATTAAGTATACAAAATTATTATATTATTGTTAACAATGAACGAATTATTTAGGTAATCTGGTATCACGATGGAAAACCTGTTAAAGAATCAAAAGATATCCAGCTATTATTTCAAGGTGATCAATGCTCCTTAGTGATTAAAGAAGCATTTGTTGATGATGCTGGTGAATATAAAGTAATTGCTATAAATTCTGCAGGGGAAGCCAGCAGTATTGGTTTTTTGAAAATACAGCCTAGACCAAGTTTGTTTTTTTATTGGTATTTCAATCTTAAATTTAATGATTAATTTTTAGTAGATTTGGATCTTGATAAACTTGTTGAGGCCCCCAAATTCATTAAATTACTCTCAGATGTATTAGTTCGAGAAGGAGATCCAATTACTTTAGAGTGTAACGCAAATGGGTGCCCAAAACCAGAATTTAAATGGATAAGAAATACTGTTGAAATCAAGCCTGACCATAGAATAATTGTAATGATAAATGTATTTTTATTTTTTCTTATATAATAAAAATAACAATTTTTCTTGCTTAAATCCAGCTAAGTTCGAACGAAGATGGTACTGCAATACTTCATATACCAAAAGCTTTACCGATTGATAAAGGTCAATATACTGTTAGAGCAACAAATACAGCTGGAGAAGCCAAATGCTTTTCACATGTAATTGTAAAATCGACTTCATCATTTGATATAGCAAATATCGGCGTTTCTAATGAAATAAAATATGAAGAAAAATTGGAGAAACCTGTATTCATAGAAACATTTACTGATGCAATAGTTTTTTTGGGTGACTTTGTCAAATTTGAGTGTATTGTTGTAGGTAAACCTACTCCGAAGGTCAGTTTTGAATATTTATTATTGGTTATTTTAAATTATAAAAATAAGAAAATAATTAAAAATTAGGTTCGATGGTATTTCAATTCGAAACCAGTAAGTGGAAAATCATTTTTAGTGTCAATTAGTGGTGACCGGCAGGTACTTACAATTCCCGCAACTGAGTTTGAACATAATGGGTTAATTGAATGTATAGCAGAAAATGAAGCTGGTAAATGCAGCTGTATATCTCAATTAAAAATCAAAGGTATTACTAGAATTATACTATTAATTATAATGAAATGTTACTCAAATAAAGATTATTATTAACAATGATGTTTTTAAACGCACTATTTAAATACCTCAAGAGATACATTGGTTAAAAAAATTATATATACATATTATTGCGGTAGACGAATGAAGTCTGAGTAACTAAGTTCTAAAAATACACGTCTTAGTTGCGTTCATTTACACTGAACGCATTTTTATTTTATAGTCAGCATCGAGCGTGGTACCATTTGTATGCATCTTTCATATAATAAATAATTTATTCTTAAATTATATAATAATAATTCCTTAAATTTAAAATAAAACGCTAATATATATTTTTTTTATTAAAGAACAAGAAACGCTTTCATTAATCATGGAAAATAATAAAAATAACGAGCAAAAATCCACAATTGCAGAAACTTTTGAAAGATGTTCTAATTGTGACATAAAAAATTCAATGCTTATGTCATCATCATCGACTAGTTTTGGTGATAGTAATTTTAAAGAAGCTTCCTTTGATTCACAAATGAAAAAACAATCTCTTCAGTTAGGAGATAATACTCCTGTACAAGTAAATAAATAATGTTTATCATATATATTTAAATAAGCTAATAAATAAATTAATTAAGAACTGTTTATTTACTTTTTATTTTTGTGTTTGTGTACATTAGTGTGAATTATTCCAAACCAAAGAATATTATAATATTGATGGGCAAAAGAGTCATCATGGAACTGATTATAATTCCACAAATGCTTTTGATGGATATCAGTCATCATTTTTTGAGATATGTTCTACTCAACAAGATACTAAGAAAGATAATAAATTAATATCATCAACTGAAAAAAATATTATAAAGCAGAATCGTAAGCCTACAGCTCCCCGTTTCATTTCTCCACCACAAGGGAAAATTGCAGAACAAGGCGATGACGTATTTTTAGAAGTAATAATTGATAGTTATCCTCTATCAGTTATAACGTGGAGTAAAAATGGTGTAGATATATTCCCAGATGGGAAAAAATTTATTGTTACGAACCAAGTTAACAAAAATCGTTTGGATATTAAATGTTTGTGTGTTGAAGATGGTGGTCATTATACGTGTAAAGCTATTAATGATGCTGGCAGTACAAGTTGCACAACTGATATTATTGTTAGAAGTGAGTGTACATTATAATATCAATTATCTTCAGCATCAACTATTTTTTTCAATTTCTAGAAAATGTATTTCCTCCTGTCATGTGCCGAAGATTAATACCTAATACTATTGGCGAAGGAGATAGAGTTGTTTTAGAAGTCGAAGTTACTGGTACACCAGAACCTACAATAAATTGGTATTTTAATAACCAATCTTTGGTTTTTCCATCAGAAAATTTTAGGTTAAGACAACAAGGAAACTGTAGTGCAGTTATTATTGAAAAAGGTATAACTACAATTTTTTTTTAAATTATAAATATTATAATACTATATATACATTAAATTCACATCTTTTTGAATATACTTTAAGTAATTATGAATTTAATATAGGAACTTAAAGTATAACAATATGTTTTAAAAATGTATTTTAATATTTAGCTACTTCAATTCATGCTGGAGAGTATAAAGTAATAGCTAAAAATGAAGGAGGTGAAGCAGTTAGTTGTGCTGATTTGCGAATTGTTCAGCCAATACCTGATGTTGACATGAATTTATCTTTGTCGTCCGAATGTGACAAAGCAGATAGAGTTAATTTTGTAAGTTAATCGTTTTTTTTTTGTTTATAAATTTTAAAGAAATAATGTTTTTTTATTACAATGAATATTTAATTTTTCATCGATAAATAATTTACTAAATTTTTATAATCTTATTGTTTGTATCGATGTGAATAGGATTACTACAAAAGCATAGTACCATCAAATAATTCATATAAATTCCGTAAAATTAGCAAAATTGAGGAAAAATCGCTCATTTCAAAGTCTATTTTTCATAAAGAAACAATTAATAACACTGAAAATTCATCTGTAGAACATAGTAATTTAACTGGTGGTTTGGAAAATACTACAATTAACAATGAAGTAAATAAAAAACAGATTACTTCTCAGAATGAGAATGTGGAAGATATATCTATTTCAAAGAAAAGTGCTCTTCAATTTTTTAAAAATGTAATTGAGGAAACCAAAGAAAAACAAGGGACGTTCATTGAAAATGCGAGAAATTTAAGTCCAAACACAACAAAAAACCTTCATAGCGCAAGGAGTACAAAATCAAGTGTTGTTTTAACTCCTAAAGCTTTTAACGAGGAAGAAAAATTATTGAGTAGTACATATAATAAATTAAATGGGACAGAAGTCATTTTAGAACCTGGTACTCCGCCTACTTTTGATTACATGCCAAGAACACAAGTAGTAAAGAATGATCAAATGACTGAACGACTTAAAAAATTATCAATTAATCAAAAATCATTGTCACCTGATCAAATTCCTTCTGGTGCTGTAAGAATTTTTCCAAATGTTGCTACAGAAAAAAAACAAGAAATTTTTGAAGAAACATGCATAAAAAAAAAAGTAATCAAATCAAATATAAGTGAAAATATTTCGAGTATTAAGTATTCGAATATGCCAGAATTACAAACAGAACATAATTCTCCATTATTACGTCCACAAGCTGATATTAATGTGAGGCCAGGCTCACCTAGACCATCTGCAGAAGCAATAACTATGGAAAAGCTTTGGTCAAAATCAAAATCTCAAAATACTCCAACTTCGTGCATTTCGCCTAAATTAAAAACCTATTCATCGTCTGAAACGCAATCTTATTTTACTGCCACCGAGGCCGTGGAAAACAATGGAAAAGTAGTTATAAATGAAGGCAGAGAAGAAAAATTAGGTAGTATCAATATAGAAAGTAATGGAAAAAATGTACACGAAAAGTTCGAAAATATCACAATTGGTTCTACAAAAAATGTTGAATCACCACGCTCGTCATCAGCAAAATTGTTTTATGAAAAAATATCTCCAAATACAATTATGAAAAATAAATGTTCTACTCCAGATTTTACCCAGAACACATTACAATCAGAGTTAGCATTAAATTGTCAACATGAATTTTCTAAAAATAGTAAATTAAGCCAATTCACAAATAAAATTAATCACATTGATAATAATGTAGATAAGTATAATTTAAAAAATACTACACCTATATTTTTACAACAGAAAAAAAATCAAATCAAACATGTAGAAGCTCCTAAATTTAATTCTAAAAGTTCAACCTTACCTAGAGTCCACAGTGAAGACTCTAAAAAAAATTTGAAGCCTCAATCGCCTACCTTGTTTAATGATCACTTTAAAAATAAAACATATTCGTCAGTTGAAAGTCATTCTAATTTTTTAAAACAAATTGATCATGATGGATTAGTTTTAGAATCAGAACATAAAGAAGTTGGAGGACAAGTTAATAATGATGGCGTGCAAAAAACTTTTGAATCATTTTCACATAATTTTAAGACGCCCACCAAAAACATCGAATTTCAAAGAAATCAAAATAAAGCCAACTCAATTAAAACTATGCATAAATTTTTTGAACAAAGTGGATCATCTAGTTCAGCTACATATTCTAGACCATTTAGTCGAATGAAGGTGCGAAACAGTGATAGTGAATTTGAAAGTGAAACTGAATTGTCAAAATATATTGTTGATCAATACTCTGATGTACCCTCTAGTAAATTTCAAAGAAAGTCATATTCTGCTTCATCCCAAGTTCAAGAAACTAAAGCAACCCCTTCTGTAGTACTTCAAAGTCCAGTAAAAGATAGTGGTTATGTTGCTGATACGGACGAGCCAAGAAGCATACAAAGTGATGTTACTACCAACAGTTTACAAAATAGTTTAAGAAAAAATGTGGGGTTCCAAAGCTCATTTTTAAAGAAGGTTTGATCAAAAAATGTTTGGAGATTTAATTAACAGTGTGAAGTGTTATATTTGACATCTGAACAAACTTTTTTTTAATTAAGTTTTTTTTTATAATAAAATAATATAGATTTCTTAGAAATTTTAATATTAACTTGTATTGAACAGTTTCCTTTATGAAACTAATTTTTGTATTAATTTGTGTATTAATTATTTCCATTCTAACAAATACGTTCATTAGAATAAGGCCGCTTCGAAAAATTATTATTAATTAAAACGTTGATTAATTTTTAGTAATTTTACAGGCAGAATTTTTTGAAAATGAGCGACATTATAACCCACAGCCACCTCAATGGGTAAATAAAAATAATCAACTAAAAACCCATATTCGTAGCCCAGCAAACTTTATTGAAGGTAATTTTCACAAAAGTGACTGTGAAAGTGATCACGAATCAAATAGAAGATCTCAGTCCATTTGGCGGCCTTGTGATTCAGAATCAAAAGAATCTATGTATAAGCTTGTTAAACCTAGTTTTCAACAACCCTTTAAATCTGTAGAAACACCTAATTATCAAGTCCGCAACACTCGCATTCAATTAAAAGATATTACTGAACCTGAGTTTCAGTTAAAACCAGGAACACCCCCTGAAATTGGATTTGCTCCTTATTCGAATTCTCAAAAAATAGTTTGTTTTAATGACTACACTGAAAACGGTAATGTTCAAAATAATCTAAAATCTGAAAATGGACATAACTCTATAAATTATCAAGATACGTTGGAAAAGAAGGCTGAAGCAATAAGATTGCAGAGAGTAAACGAAATGAGGAGAAGATTTGAACAGAAATCATTTGTACCCACTAATGAAACTAATTCCTTTCAAACAATTTCATCACAAAGTGTCAATTCTTCAGATGCTTTTATAGGTAATTTTTTTTAATTTATATACGGCTTCAGCATTTTGCTAAGTTAGCAATTAGTTGTCAGCTATGTAAATAAAATTTTGCAATAAAAAATGTTGCATTATTCCCATAAATGAGTCTTATATACTATAGGTACTAACCAAATTTATTGTTTTAAAATCGATCTACCGTGTTACAAATACGATTTTGGATACAAATTCGGTATAGCATATCCTAAACAAATTGGAAACAACAATACACTCAACCGTAGTAGTGTCTATTTTAGCGTTCCAGTTGTGCATAAATCTTCAAACCACATGCAAAAACGCTCGAATGAAATGATTAAATATTATAATTCTTATACAAGTGTGGAATATATTAATAAAATTGCAGGTGAAATTGATAATAATTATATTGTATTCTTCAAATTAATTTTGAATTTCTGTAGAAATATCTTGTTATTAGCTTTTTTTTTACATCTACTTATTAGGTATAGATCATCTTTGAAATTCATATTGTACTTATCTATTAGCATCTATGTATCTTTTTTTTTTTTAGCTTTGTATTAGTGTATTTGCTTTATGTATATTTTTTATTTACTGTAATTTTATATAGAATTCAATGCTTAGCCTATGTTTACGACTATTCACATTGCTTTGAACTTCTGCAGTTGGTTAAAACTATTTTTCTCTGTAAGTAAGATATATGTGTGCGTGTGAGCTTTGAGTGAAATCCTTTTTGGTTTCTAATTAACCAAAATGTTATAATTAGTTAATATTTTTATCATAAGTGTAATTAATTTGCCTATAAAGCCTTGAAAATATTTATAGATGGCGCCGTTATTAGCCCCATTCACCAAAAAGAACTGAATACAGCAATACCTTTAGATCCTTCTCATAGTATACCAATATTTATGACTGTAAGTTAAGCTCTTTTTACCATTTATAATTTTTATATTATATTATATATTAAATGTTTTACGGGATATAGCCGTTAAAAGATATAGCAGTAGTTAGCGGTAAAACTGCCAGATTTGAATGCATAGTACAAGGTGAGCCTATTGAAAATATAGTGTGGATGTGCAACGGTCAAGTGCTAAGTAATTCAGACTGCTATCAAATGGAATATAGAAACGGTGTTTGCAAATTATTGATTCCGAAGGCGTATCAATGTAAGCCTATTTTTTTATTATTAAAGACTATATACTTAAAAATTGATTAGTTATTGTTAAAATAATAATAACTAAAACTTAAAATTTTAGCAGCCTAAATGTATTTTAATTATTCATTCAATTTAGTATTTTTTTAAATTCATTAATTATTTTAATAAATCCTTTTCAAATCGGGGTTTTAAGTCACAAAATAATGTTTTCAAATAAAAAATAGCTACATTTTATTCTTGATAGAATGAATAACTCAATAATTACATATTTTTTCGTTCTAGTTAACGCTGGATTATATGTATGCACAGTTTCTAACTACCTCGGAGCAAGTAGCACATTGGCTAATTTACAAGTATCAGGTGAGTCTCGCACGTACATTCAACGCTAAATTCATGTAACTGGCTTACTCTTCTTTCTCTCAAAAACATTTTTTCCTCGGCTGGTATGAAATTGATAAATTAATAAAATTTTATTTTTTATAAGTAGTTTATTTTTTCAACAATTTTTAACTGTAAAATCAAGCATTTAGAAAGTAATTAATATTAAAATGATAGAATATCTAACAGAAATGTTAAACATAGTTTTAATATTATTTATTTATGAATAATTTATAATTAGCTTGTAATTTATTTAAATTGTAATGAATATAAAACGATTAAATATAATTAAAATACTTTTATTGTTATATTTTGTCAATTTAATTGAAAGGTACAATAAATTTTTTAACTGTGGTTATGGTTTCTTCTTTTCTGATATCTATCTTGCTCACATCTATGCCTCATGCTTACAATAAATTGTCTACTTGGTTTATAAGTATCTAAATTGCACGCATTCATTTTGAAACAAAGATATTTCTATTTACTAGTTAATGAACAAGAAATATTTTATCAATAAATTTACTGATTTCTAAAAATGATAATGCTTTAAATGTTCGTATCTACATAAATTGCTTAGAAGACGGTGTGGCCGAGTCGGTAACGCGGCAGTGCTTGGCACGTACTGTCTCAGGTACGAAACTCGGTCACGGGCGGCTTCATTTGCCGAACGATCTGTTCGGTAGTTGGAGTCATCATCCTCCTCTCTCCGGCGACGGACTAACTACCCTTCCTGGAGTTATAATTGGTTAAGAAAACCTCCCTCCTTTGGGAGAGACCGCTATGGCTCTTAATTGAGTCGATAAAAGCACTAAAAAAAATATAAATTACTAACCAAGGGAAAACTAGATAGAGACGTTAGTGTTGCAATATGTATGTAATTATATTTAAATATGTTCAATGTCTTCTCCAAATATAATTGTTTGTATCAAAGAGAAAATAAAATCTAAAAACAGATTTTAACTTGGGTATCTACGCATCAAGGGAAAATGCAAAATTGATTGAACTAAGTAGGTCGGTCGCCTGTACCTGTGATCTTATATACATTCTCATAAAAATAGAACAATCTCATTCCACAGAAACTAATTTATACTATGAAGTGGAAAATGCAAAACAAAAAAGATAAAACGAACATGATACCTCTTATATTACACATCATATATTGATGAAGAATGAATAAAAATAATATTCAGTTAATGTAATGAACTATATATCTTAACAATATTTAAGTTTACAAAGTTTTAAGTAAAACTTTGGCCATGTATACTTGTACATGGAATTTGTATAACTAATGTTTATTTTTTGGTAACTATAATATATTTTATTTGCTCTATCAAGAACATTACTTTGCTAAATCATTAGTTCATTTAATTTCAATAAGTATAAAATGATACATTTATATTTTACATATTTTAACAATATATATGGTAATTACACAAGAATAATTGAAAAAAATTTTACCTTGGTAACCGCCACAGCAGTGATGGTCAAACATTTTTCTGTGGGAATGAATCAAAATCATATAAATAAAAACCTTATGAATTCTAAAACATTACTCTCTAGACATTGCTTTTTTTATTTTAACTTATTTAAGGGTAACGTTGACTATTCGATATTCATAGATTACTATATATAATTAAGCCTTTAGTTTATTATTTAAATAAATTAACTCGTTGAATTTTCTATCTGTATAGGTTAACTCATGAAGTTTAGGTATCTCTTATAAACTTTTAGTTCAATTATAATTTCATAAACATTTATTTTTAATAATTATTGTCTTCTTAGACTACATTCAAAACATATTTTTTTATTAGTTACCACTAGAGTACGGGCCTCGAGAAAATGTAAACCAATGGCGACCAAATATTGTTCATTTCGGCTTATCTTTCATTATCTAGCACCGTTCATATTAATTATCATCATTTACTGTCTCAGTTCTCTAGTAAGCAGTTGTTTTTAGTGGTTTATATAAACAAAGTTTTGTACTTTTCAGGTTCTAATTTAGACTAAGAACGCAACTGTTTTAATATAATTATTTAGATAATTTTAATCTACAGCTGTGAGTTAACCTTTATTAATCAGTAATAGTATGAATTTTTATGTTCTTTAGTCACCCTAAAAGTAACACATACTTATTTTTTTTATAAATATAATTTTTAATAAAAATTTTTATTATGGGTTTTATAAAAGCTGTCTCAAAATAAATCAAGGGGATGAGAGAAAAAAAATTAAAATAGTATCCAAGATTATTGTTTTATATGTAGTATATGTACATTTGGCCGACAACTGATTAATATTTGTGTATACTAATTGAGCCTCAGTATTCATACAGCAGTACCACGTGGTTTGGAAAACAAGGCTAATGAACACTATCTTTTACATGTGTAAACAACTTGCGTTCTCTCATAGTCCGGAGTTTAGAAAAAAAAAAAATAAATATTTTACTTTTTCGAAATTTTAAAACAGCAATTATTTAGTAAAAATGTTTAAAATAATACTTGTCGTTGATTATTTTAGGACAAGTTATTTATTAAGTTATTAGCATTTTAATACATAGAGTGGGTATCGAACGCAAGTGAAGTATATTTACATCAGTATGGGCTGCATTAATTCATGACTGGAAATTTCAAAAAGACATTTTTTTGAAAAATCGAACTCTCTAATCTCTTAGTTTAATCATGTCACGGTTGGTTTCCTAATGTTCACAGTTTATTACTAAATAAATTTATGTTATCGTGTTTAATTTGAACAATTTCAAATTTAGAGATAATTGGTTATTGAATTGAATACTTTAGTTATGAATTGATAACTAGTATCGGACAAGAATTTAATAAGCTACAGGTATATTAATACATAGGGTAAATGAAGGACATATTCTTGAAGTGCATTCTAGGATTACTAAGACAGATACTTATTAAGCTATAATCAATTCGTACAACTTATATACTACTAATAAACAATTGAACCGGTTAATTATTTTTATTTTTTAGTAAAATTAACTTAAAAATCAATCAATTTAAATTTTGATTAACATAAAAATGTAATGAAGTATAATTCTTTTTTGTTATATTTTAAGTTTAATTTTATTATGATAATGTTGGTTAAATTAAGCTTTATACATCTTACAACTTAAATACTTCAAGCACTTTATTATTTTTTCAATATATTATTTGGCTATCTGAACTCTTCAAATGTTATGAATAACATTTAAAATTGTGTTCTTCTCTCATAATAAAATTGCAAAGAAAACAATTAAGTGTTAATGCCTAGTTACTCATTATTTTTAATTACTTTTTTTATTTTTATGTTTATTAATAAGTACTTTTTAATTTAATAGTATACTATAACTCAAGTAATATAGAGGAATTGTAAATACATAAAACCAAATTAATTTTTAGAAGGGTATCTATAATAGGGAAAAAATTGCTCCCCATTTTTTTTAAATTTAAAATGAAAAATTTTACAACTTAATGATGAATTTTTTAAAAATTATAAAAATTTTAGAACCCAAGTATGGCTCAAGTATATGCGTTTTTGTGTTTTACAATCTTGAACACGCAAAATTTGAAAAATTTGCTGAAAATAGCTAACTTTATCATTTGATTACACAAAAGTGGCTGAATGATTTTTTTTTCAAATTTACATAGTACTTATCTTTAAACAATTAAAATGTTTGAAGAAAATTTGATGATGGAGAAATAATTTTAACATCGTTTATAAAATTTACAATTTGCGTATTATGGAAAATTCACTAACATTTTATTTTTATTTATTACATTTATTCTGCGTTCTGCACTAAATTAAGTTATCGGGACTGATAACAAAATCATAGGAGCAATGGCTAAGTTCGGAAAAGCTCCATTATTTTTCTTTATAAAGTTAAGTACATCAATAGATATTTTTGATTCTTAGACTATGTAGTGACAAATTAAGAATTTTTCAAATAAATATCATTTTCATCTTCAGATTGTAGATATAATGCCAAGTCCATATAATTAGATCACAGTTGCTCTTCATTGTTTAAATAATGGCGAATATTTGATCTTTCAATTTAGCGGTATTAAATCCAGTTTCTCTATAATTTTTTAAAAACTTGACAAGTTCATCAAATAATTCTGAAGAAATATCTAAGTCCACATTTGAACTTTGTAAAATTTTGCTGATAATAATTTCTTTGACTTGAATGAAACCTTATTGTTTTAATACTATCACACCTTCTTCCCTACTTTGTTTCTGACCATTTTTTTTATTGTACACTTATGACAATATTTAGAAAATATAATTTTAACACCACATATAGAGTTTCAAAATTTATATTTTACGTATTATGGAAAATTCATAAACTACATAATTTTCAAAATTTTATTTTTGGTATTTATTCTACACGAAAAATAAAATATTACATACCATTGTAAGTAACTAATTTTAAAGTCATAATTGTTCAAATATTATGTATTTTAGATAATTTTATTATTCTAAAAATATAATAAAATGTGTTATATTTTTGAGTGTAATATAGAATAATGATTATTATATATTTCCTTATAATTTATTCTAAAATGTAATTTAATTCTATTTTTATATTATATAAAAATATAAGTTTTATTTCTGTTTACATCATACCGAATTATAATTAAACTAATTATAATCAAATACAAAGTTGTACATTAATAATTTTTAAAAAACAAAAAATTATTGTAATTATATTAAATAAAACAATTGAAAATCTAATATGAGAAAATATATAGTTGAAATTGATTTTATTAATACACAGATCACTAGTTACTACCATAAACGTTACACATTGACTTGAATGCTCGGTGGCACAAAATTATAAATTTATAAGGACAATCCTGTAATATTTAAAAACAGATAATGTTTCATACAAGGCAGCTAGACCGTAGGACGGCTAGTTGTACACCGCACTAAAATGCCATTTTACCTTAAGTGTGTTTAAATCACTATTATTGAAGAATGAGTGGGTCACCTGGAGGATTACGGCTAACGGTATAAGTAACGAGAGTAGACATAATTAAATAAAAAATAACTATATATATTATTAGTTCTTCAAAGAATATCTTTAATTTAAGGGGTAACTGGGGGGGCCTTAAATACTAATAACCGGCGAAGCGGTATAAAACAAAATAGTTACCTTCAATTAAACAAATAATAAATAACATTAAAAAATAGTATAAAAACTCAGCTGAATAGTTGAAGTTGTTGATAGCGATGAGTGAACTGTATGAGATATTGTGGTAATGGTGTCGAATATCTGAGTATCACGAGTCAGAGTGTAGATGTAATGGCACGTAATGGCAGATGAGAACAGACGGCGAAA